AAATGGGCAGCAGTAGTCTGAGATCTTGAAAATCTGGCACATAAAATGTCAGTTTTGTACGGTACTGTGTAAAGAGTAGTAGTCGAATTAGACAAGATATTCCCATCTAAAGAGAGACATATTTGTGAAAATAGTTAATAGCCCAGTGTGCACTCTATAAGAAGCTGCACTATATGTCATCTAACTGCATATTAATATTTCCGCATGTTAAATACCTTATAATTCAAAATTGTAATCATGTTATTATTAAGCCTGCCGGTAAGGAAATTAGATTGTTTAGAGTTATGAAAAATAAAAATAACTATCTAATTGTATATAAAATGATTAAATGTGCAGCAATGTTGACGGATATCTAGAATTCAACTGAAATGGAAATGCACGCAAAACTGAAAAAAAAAAAAAGCTGGACACTGAGTGAATTTGCTGAGGTTTAGCTAACTGCTAAATAAATCTAAAGTTTTTTTTGTTTTGTTTAATATTTAACTGAGGAATTTCAGTGCCAAAATGTTGTATTAATAGCAAATTAGTATCAGCTTGAATTTCTGAACTCTGCCAACATTTATACCATATTTATCTGCATGCAGTTCATCTTATTTTGTAACAGCGATTGTTTTTAATTTTATGGTAAACAACAGTGACATTTTTTTAGTATCAGCTTGAATTTCTGAACTCTGCCAACATTTATACCATATTTTATCTGCATGCAGTTCATCTTATTTTGTAACAGCGATTGTTTTTAATTTTATGGTAAACAACAGTGACATTTTTTATGTATTCAGTACACCATTTCACATCATCACAATGTTAGTCAAATTATTGAACCGTATGATTACAGTAACTTTGGCAGACTGTTGTAAAAGTTGTAAGTTCCCTGATTTGTTGTTTTATTTAGTTAAAAAACTAATACCAAAGCAGTTTGTTCATCTTTATTTGAATAAACCAGATGTCTTACATGTGTGGAGGGATACTGATGATATCAATCCTTATAATAAGGTCACATGTAGAAATTAATAGATTAATATTATATGCATTATTCAAATAATATAATACATTTAGCCAAAACTGTTATCTGTTCAATGTGAATAATTTCCTCTCAATTTTATCATTCAAATTCTCTGAAGCATCATCACAGGAAGTCTTCAGAAGATATTAGAAGTCATGAAGTCTTATGATTCATAAACATAAGGGCATCAATCTTTACTAAACTGAAAGTAAACCCCAAATAGTTCCCTTTACACACAGGCAAGCTACTCCACTACTCCTCTACTACTGTTTTATTGTTTTCGTCTTGGTTGTTGATCTTCCAGCTTGACTCATGTGGATTTCCATTTCTCAGTCCTGCTGTCTGGGATGGAAACAAACTTGTGGTATGAATCTGTTCTCCATCTTCCTACTTTCTGGCCTCTCAGCCAAACTTATGGATGGACAAAGGTCTGTGAGTTTTGCTCTGTTTGAAGCAGAGCCATGATGACAGAACTGCTTCCTGTAGGAAACGTGTTCTCTTGATGTCTCTAGCTGAAGTACAGGCTATGGATATAAATATAGTAATTGTAAGATGAAAAGGCTTTTGTATGGAAGAGCTTGTATAAGGTGTTATTTTTGTGGCGCATCCAATGGCGGTGCAATGTAAAAAAAACTTTATACTGCTGCCAAAGGTAAGAACATATCAAAACATCTTATAATAATTGTGATTTAGTACGGATTATTAAAGTAGTTTTAAGAATAAATCCCAGTCTGCGATTCAATTTTCAATCCAAACTTTCAAACTATGTACTGAATTTGACAACAAACTAGAAGAAGTATACAGTTGTGTGGAATAAATAGTCCACGGCCAACTACATCTGCAATTTTGACATTGTCCTTTGACTATATGATCTTGTCATGTGAGGTTGCCCTACTAGCAAAGGGGCAGAGTTGGAGATGTCCGACAGAGAGAAGTCTCTTTTTTTTGTTGTTGGAAGACTAAGTTATGACATTTTTTATTTAATATCACAAGCTAAACATATGGTGAATTTCCATTGCTTTGTTTTGTGTTTCATGCAAAAAGTCAGTCATCTGAAACAACATGATGAAATTTTTATTTTCAAATGAATTATTCCATAACCTAACCTAAGTACATTGATAGGACACTGTAATGTTGCTGTAACAAAAGTGAATGTTGCCATGTCATATGTTTTGTGTGAGTGTGCTTGTCAGCTGTGCAACTGAGGTCTTACTAGAAAACCACATTCTGCTGTTATTCGGCATCTACTAGAAACTGGATAGACTTAGTAGGGAAAGAGACCATTGTGATGTTTCTTGGCTTGTCCTCCTACAGCTGATCTCTTGAGAGAGAGGCCACAAGAGTTTCCTGTTGTTGTTTAGAATAGGACCATTGTGCTGCACTGTCATGCTATGTGAGAACACAAAAAAAGCTTGCAAAGGTTCCCTGAGGGGATAAAATCTGTTTATTTGATACATGTGATATTGTCAGAACATTATAAACTTGATTTGTGTGGCTCTGGACAGAAAAATGTTGGGAATTTTTCTTTGAAGTCGACATGAAATGGAAATGTACCCTATCTATCTAAATGCATCTTAATGTTCTTAATGGTTTTAATTAAAAATGTCATAATTTGTCATGTTTCAGTGAAATGACAGACTCTTCTCAGACTTCTCCAGTCTTTTAGTCTGCCAATGCAAGCTTTCATTCAGATCTGGCACCTGGTACTTACAAGACTTAAACTTGAAAAGAGCCACTCTAGTTCTAGTTCGACACTCTTTTTAATTCAACTATTGGCCTCATGGGATAGCAAAGCATTCACTGGCTGCACATTTCAGAAGCTCAGTGGCTTGGCGGATGCAGAAGGTCATCCGGGTTCGCCTACTGTATCTTGAATACCAAGCAGTCTGACATCCTTCCCATTTGGCATACTGTTTATGCATACCGTGTAGCTGGGTTGTTCGCATATTCAGATGCAGAGCCAGTATTTGCGTTAGCTGTAAACATTCATTCCCTTCCTCAGCTCAGAACATACCTTGGATGAATCGTAAAATAGCCCAACAGTTGGTCCGTTCTTTCCCTTTACCTCTTCCAACCATCTGTTCCTATCTCTATCCCAAACCACACCTTTATGTCAGGCACGTCAAAAGTTAACTACAGATCTTTCTGCACAAGTCTGAGCTAGCACTAAAAATTAGTGTTTTATTTAAAACAGTAGAGTTGCTGGCAGACAACCCAGCCTTCCAGAGGAATGGAGGGTCTGGGGTGACCATGTGATAGTTAGACAGAAAGACACTGTGGGAGTTCTTTTGTCCATGTGTTAGAAACAGATGATGGATAGACAGTTCTGTCTTTTCGTTTGAAATATCTTTACCACTTTATAGCAGCCTGGGCATTTAAGTTCACCACAAGCTGATTTTGCAGGACCAAACACAAACACAAAAAAAATCTTTTGATGTTGATGACCAGATGTTGATGAAATGCAGTTTTCTGTCTCCTCACCCACAGTCTTTCAAAACCCTTTTGACTTTATTCTGTGGAGCACAAAAGGAGTTCATTTGTAGTATAGCATAGAATGAGAAATCAAAGCTTATACGTTTCTGGAGCTTGGCAGACCCTGCTCCTTTCACATCATTGCATGGATGATAGCAGGGTCTTGGTTAAACACATTGTTTGTTGATTGGATAGAGGCAGATCTGAATGTGAGCTTGCAGGCGATTGTAAGGAAGGGGCAGAGTTGGAGATGTCCGACAGAGAGAAGTCTCTTTTTTTTGTTGTTGGAAGACTAAGTTATGACATTTTTTATTTAATATCACAAGCTAAACATATGGTGAATTTCCATTGCTTTGTTTTGTGTTTCATGCAAAAAGTCATCTGAAACAACATGATGAAATTTTTATTTTCAAATGAATTATTCCATAACCTAACCTAAGTACATTGATAGGACACTGTAATGTTGCTGTAACAAAAGTGAATGTTGCCATGTCATATGTTTTGTGTGAGTATGCTTGTCAGCTGTGCAACTGAGGTCTTACTAGAAAACCATTCTGCTGTTATTCGGCATCTACTAGAAACTGGATAGACTTAGTAGGGAAAGAGACCATTGTGATGTTTCTTGGCTCCTAGCCACAGAGCTAGAGCCAAATATGGAACTGTGTGTAATTAACATAACTGGCTGAGACACAATGCCCCAAACAGGAAATTAAACCTCTTTGAGAGCATGTGTTTTCTTTTAGGTGAAGCATAAAATTTGTGTTTACTACGTTGTCATTTCTCAGTAATAGTTTTTTCCCCCACCTATGATGGATTTGATCCTTGTTGCATTTCATTTTGATGATCAACTTCTGTACTTTTCCATTCAAAGATGCTGGTGTATTAAATATTTTGCTATTAAAGACATTAATTAACCACAAAGACCTAGCATTCAAATATTGTTTACCAGTCTCAGAGTTCATAATGTTTAGATGCCTTGTGAGCTTTCATGAATACCTGCAAAAACATAACAATTAGCATTAGCACTTAGCACTGAGCAGTTTATGAGACACAATGCCCCAAACAGGAAATTAAACCTCTTTGAGAGCATGTGTTTTCTTTTAGGTGAAGCATAAAATTTGAGTTTACTACGTTGTCATTTCTCAGTAATAGTTTTTTCCCCCACCTATGATGGATTTGATCCTTGTTGCATTTCATTTTGATGATCAACTTCTGTACTTTTCCATTCAAAGATGCTGGTATATTAAATATTTTGCTATTAAAGACATTAATTAACCACAAAGACCTAGCATTCAAATATTGTTTACCAGTCTCAGAGTTCATAATGTTTAGATGCCTTGTGAGATTTCATGAATACCTGCAAAAACACAACAATTAGCATTAGCACTTAGCACTGAGCAGTTTGGACTTTTCTGATCATAACCAATAGATGTAACTATTTAATCCCTGACTTGCTGCTCTCACGCAAATTAGGACAGTCCACCTACCTGGGGGACTAGAAAATCCAGTCTGAAATCTGTAAGCCATGTCTAGTCTCACAGGTACGGATATTAGAAAAGTTGGCACCAGCTATGATCTGGGGCTTTTGTCGCAGACTAGTCGTAAACACAATAGGGTGACAAGGTTTAGTCTTGTGTGATCTTGGTCTCAGAGACTTATAGAGGAGCAAGTCTTTCATATTTTTCCCTGTTGACACTATTAGATGTATATAAATATTTTTTGTCAATAAATTAATTTATTGTTTGTCTGCATGTATTGAAGCCATCATTGGAATAAACAGATATCCAAGATACAGAGTATTTTAATAGGCCTAAACCTCCTACAGCTAGATGCTAATTGCTGCCCTGAAAATGACCTCTTGTCATGTCCTGTATTTCGGAGCCTAATGCTCTTAGTTGCCGATTTAGTGTTGCAGACCTCGACACAGACGTATTCCGCATTTAGAGCACTTTTCGGTTCCTGTGAATAATAGGTTTTGAATTCTGTAACTGTATTAGGTTGCTGTTTGTACGCCCTTTAGACCACTGGTTCTAACGTAGAGCAGCCCCATCCTTGACACGAGATGCTGGATAATAGACTGGATTACTAATGGTCGTAGATTTCGACTGGAGGAGCCCATTACAGGGGATTACAATGACAGAGTAGAACAAGTAGTTGTTGTCGTCAGCGGAATTGAGAGCAAGTAATGACACAACACAATCAATGCTTGGCAGTCAAACAAAGACACCATACATTATGTGGCTACCTGTGCCGACTTCAAATCAGCCTCTAAATCCAGACTAGTGCTCCCGTGGGGACAGAAATTTCAGCACATGATTTTTGGCAATTGTACACATTAAATAACAAACATGTGCAGACTTTTCTCATTACTCATTTTGCAACTGTAAGCATCGCCAAAAATAAAGCAGATCAATTGTCATTTACCAGTCAAGCTGAGAGGAAATGCATAGATAGATAGATAGATAGATAGATAGATAGATAGATAGATAGATAGATAGATAAACTCTGATTCATCAACTTAGTGGTCTGATTGAGACATTTGTTTACTCAAAGACGGGTGTTGTTTTGAGGGGCGATGTAGAAAAGGATGAAGCATGGTATATAGGCCTGTATTAGCCTAATTATAACTGGGCCAAGGTCCATGTCTTCTTTTGACCAACACGCTGGTTTAAGCATTGTCCATCCCCACAGGATTATGACTCTTGATCTCAAGAGGCTATGATTGGCTTAGGCTGTGTCCAGTGTGTCTGTCTGTGAAGGGATCATGAGATGCCATTGACACTACAAATAGGGGCAGGAAAGGGCAAAGTAGCTCAGAGTTGAGGCATCTGTACCCACAGCAAGAGATACAGTAGCAGAGCCCCAAGAAGTCAAAGGTAAGACTCTAGCATTTGTGCAATGGTAATGTGCAGTTAATTTAAAAAAATTTTTTGGCAAAGACAGTGCCAACTTCATCCATACCAATAGAAAGCCTCCAGAACTACATACTGTGAGCTAGGAGCCATTTTTCTGCTTTGATTTCCATGGCTTTGTATTTAATTTGTCTTGCAGAAGTGCACAGTGATGAGAGTTCATTTATGGCACTAAAGTTTTCAGCTGTATTTTGATGCATTTATCCACTGAACCATTTCTGCAAAGCCAGTATGGAGGTCATGATTTAAAAGGCTTTTCTTACTTTGAGAGATCTTAACAGGTGAAGCTGGCTCCACCTGATCTGATCACTCGGTATCCATGGCATCCCTTTGATCCCTTCTGGTTTAGTGTGAGACTGCTGCCCATAGAAAATTATCTCCAGACAGTCACTTGGAGCTCAGGACCAAAAATGTAAACCATATGAGACATATTATTTCTTGCATACACACTTGACAAAGCTCAAACTTGCATTTGACAGATAGAAATTTTTTGCCTGCCAAATTAGAGCAGTTACGGCTCTCCCGAAACAGAATCTCAAATATCCCACCCGGTGTTTTCTCTGGAATGGACCATCTCACCTTGCTGGATCTGCAAGGCAACAAGCTACAGGATGATGCAGTAACTGAGGTCAGTCTGAAAGGCCTCAACAACTTGATCCAGATCAATTTAGCAAAGAATCAGCTAAATACCATGCCCCTTGGCCTACCACCCACAACCACACAGATCTTTTTGGACAGCAACAACATTGAAAAGATTCCGGCTGAATACTTCAAGGGTCTTCCCAAAGTGGTGTCTCTCAGGCTCAACCGCAATAAGCTGGCTAATGGAGGTATCCCAAAGAATGTGTTTAATCTTTCCAGCATTCTGGATCTACAGCTTTCTCACAACCAGCTCACAGAGATACCCGTTATCTCTTCTGGACTGGAGCACCTGCATCTGGATCACAATAAGATCAAGAGTAAGTTCAAGATCAAAGTTCTGAACATGCACTATTGTACATATTGACTTCCTTTGTATTTTTGGTGAAATCCTTTGGTAATTAGTTAAAGACAGGCCCCAAAGTATCTCTGTTCATACTGTTGCCCGTATGGTCACATTATTGTTCTATCCAAAACATATGACTTCATTTCTACCATTAAATAAGCAATATAGTCAATTTTAGTTAATATGTTTCCTTAAGAAGCACCACGTTATTGACTGTTATTGTAATAAGTTATTGACTGACTGGGCTGCAAGGAAGTCTTAAGGCTTTGGTAAACTTAATTTTCCACATTCTGCTCCATCTTGCATGCAGCCGTGTCCGGATCCTCCTGATAAGAAAAATTATTGTAAATGGAAAGTGTGAAGTATACTTTGGACTTTAAACTTTGGATGCACGTCCATGACTTTATCAGTAAGATGTGTATTTTTTTCTCTTTAATTTCCATAGGTGTGAATAGCTCTGACATCTGTCCACCTGATGCACTTGATGACTACCTGGATGAGAAGAGTCCACGTCTCCGTTACCTTCGCCTTGATGGTAATGAGATCAAACCCCCTATTCCACGAGAGCTGATGATGTGTTTCCGTCTCCTCAGGGCTATTGTCATATAAAGATGCCACACCATCTAGATACTCCTGTCCATTTAATTTACCAGACCTGAAAATATATGGAAACTAAAACACATGAAAAGGGTCCAAAAAATGACTATCTATTTGCAAAGTCAGAAAATAAATATAAAAAAAATGTACACTGCTGAAAAGACTAGTTAAGACTAGAATGAATTTCAAGGTGGGTCCAGTTTCAGTTATGCTGGTCTAGTTCTGGACCAGCTAGTGAAGCTAATCTGATAAAGCTTTTGACTAAGAAAGCCCTGCTAAATAAGCTCGTTGAGATTGCTGGTGGGGATTCCAGTATCCAAAATATGACATTCAGACAGTCTCCTATTTTGGTCTTTTCAGCATGGTAGAAATTCACAAGACTGGTTCACATATGCATTTGTAGATGGTTTCTCATGACTGTATTGTAAAACCACTGTGCCTTAATTTCATACATATGAAAAACTAGCAGGCCTGAATTGTGGAAAACACCATTATCTGTTAAATGTTCTGTATAATGAAGAGAGCTCCAAAACAATTTCCAAATGTGCAATTAATGTAATTTCCCCATCCTGTGCAGAAGGGGGGGAAAAGCATCTCAGTAGGTGTAGCATTACCCAAAAACTTACCACACCACACCGTTCTGGAGTGCTTTTGGACAGAAGAGTTGTGGTCTGATTATGGATCCAAATTTTTGGTAGTGAACTGAGTATTTAAGGTGGTTTGTTTGACTCTATTGAATGCATGGTTACTCTTAGTATCAACAGCACTAAGAGAAGATTAACTTCCAATTGTTTCTTGCCTCTGTTATAGCGATTGACATGTACTGACATGTAATATATATATTTTTTAAGTACTTTTTAATATCTCTTTACATCTTTGTACAATCAATATTTCAATATTCAATCAATATTTAGTGTGAAATTAATATTGAGAGAAGCAGCCATTTTAGGACAGAAAGATGTACTGTTTTAATAATTAATGTGTAAATATAGTTTCAATTTAGCAGTTGACAACGGTACTACCAGTGAACCTTCTAGACTGATTTTAAAATGTATTTTTCTCTAGATAAAAATAATGTGAATATTCTTTTTCAACGCGCAAATGTGATTATTGTTTTTCATGTTTTCATTTACCACTGCGAACTGTGAGAACCATTAGGATTGTCAGATGGAAAACATAAAATGAGATGAACTTTTGTTTGGTGTTCTTGATTAAACTGGTTTCAACTGTCTCTGCATTGTCACTGATTCAATTGTCAAAGTAGATTAGCCAAGCAGGTAACCTCTTTATAAAATGTTTATATATCCACAAGCAATGTATTCTTCTACAATAATGTAACTTGTGGTTAGACTTGTGATTTATTTTAATTACCACTCAGTTGTAGCTTTTGCTAAACATTCGGTTCCAGCAAAAGCAATTCCCGTCTATTAAGTCGGTTTGTTTAAGATTTTCAGATGTATTGCAAAACTTCTCATGAGAATGTGGTGTATGAGAAATACTGCCAGCATGACTTTATGGTCCAAGAGCTTTGTGGTTACAAAAATCTTTTAAAACTAAACAGTGTGCAACTGAAGACTCTAGAACACTTTAAATAGTTATACACATCTGACAAAGAGAAAGAGCAACAGTGAGTGTACAGTACCTGGGTATCAATTGAAACAATAGCTTCATTTATTCTGCAATGCCTGATGCATATATTTTTGGTTGCATCAGTTATGCTGACTTTAGACATGACTGACTGTGTTACATTAAGTCCTCCACCACACAGTGCAGGGCTGTGCAGCTTAAATTGATTGTGCAAGTAAATGGATTTCCTTGGCACTATCCAGTGGGTTTGTACGGATATTGATGCAATGTATGGTCCAGCTAAGGAACTTTCTGGAGCATTTGGTGTCCCTTAAATGGGTCATATGATGCGATTTAAATTTTTCCTTTCTCTTTGAAGTGTTACAAGCTCTTAAACTCTTTATGCTAGTGCATAAAGAAGATCTGTAAAGTTGCAAAGACTAAAGTCTTAAATCCAAAGAGATATTAAGCGGAGTCCAGCCCGGGGTCGTCACATGTGGTTGCCGTAAGCCCTCCGGCCGCGCCGTTCTCAAGCCTGCACGACACTGCTCACTCTAGCCGCCGTGTGTTTCATTGTGAAAGCGAAACTACTTTGTTTGGCCTTCCAAAAGAGAACAGGACATATCAGTGGTTAAGTTGTATTTACAACACTGTTTCAGAACAGTTCAACCCAAATATTAATTTGTGTGCAGCACATTTTATGGAGGACTGTTTCCTGATCCTGGGAGAGTAGACTACAATTCCGGCTGTTCTGACTCAAAGACTGTAAGTACGTTTTCATTTAAAGGATTTGCCACTGATGATTCAAACGCGAGTTTTGAGCAATGTAGAGTAGTGCTTGTTTGTCATTTCTCCAATCACAAATGCAGACATGGTTTTATGTTTACGATGCAACGCAACGCGTAAAAAGACAGTATAAGTCATTATAATCTGTAACTATGTCCCCACTGAATGCAACAAATGCCTCGTTTACAATGGGTTTTAATGTTTTTGAATCGTCGCTCCGGCCGGACAGGGCATCACAGTATGGTAGGGGCGTAACATTTCCGTCACATGCTTGAGGTATTCGGCCAATCACAACGCACTGGATAACTGGCCAATCACAGCACACCTCGCTTTTCAGACCGATGAGCTTTGTAAAAATCTACGCGTTTCAGAAAGGCGGGGCATAGAGGAGAAACAATCATGTACAGTATGTGGAAAATAATGTGTTTTTTTTACTTTAAACCGCATAAACAAATTTCATTACACCAAATACACAAAATAATGTTCTTTTTAGCAGCATCATATGACCCCTTTAAAGCTCAACTATATAAAACACGGTGTAAATAATTTATTAGTAATTAAATATATAGCTGCATATTACATTTAATGAAAGATGGCTGATAGTAGCACATAAAAGAGATATGTTTGCACACCCATAAATGTCACATATAATCAAACAAAGTGAGATTAGTGGTCAGTAAAACTGCCAGGGACATGTCAGTGAGACTGAAACAAAATGCAATATGTGTCAGATGTTATTTTAAAATCTGAATTGCTTGACAGTCCCAGTCCTTAACAGACTAATGCTGGACTTTTATTTTATGTGACTCAGCAGAAATATGATTACTGAGTCGCAGAGAAAGAGAATTAGTATGGAAAAATAGAATGAGGCCTGTAAAAACATCCCACCGAACATGAAGTAGGCACTTGTACTGCACTTCCTGATAGGTTAGCAGGTTTTCTGCACAGAGGTACTGAGCAGAGTTGTAGAGTTTTAGCACCAAATCCTGGCGTCGAGCAGAATGGAGGCCTTTTCTACCTCTCAACGTTGCATTAACAGAGCAGCCTCACAGAGGGCCCATTGTGCAACGGGGCCCGGCAGATCCCTACATGAAAGCAGAGTATCCCTCATGCTCACCTCAGGAAAAGGAAGACAAATATCTCATACTTAGAACTGAATAACTTATGTGTCTCTTCAGGAAACAAAAAAGAAAGATGGTTGTAAGGGATTAAAGGATTTTTGCAGTTGGGGGTCTGTCAGCGTGCAAACTGTGTGTCCGTTCAGTGTGTGTGTGTGTGTGTGTGTGTGTGTGATGCAGTGTGGTATGGGGTGGGCGCTGCTTTAGATGCGACCAAAACTTGATTTCTCCCTTTTCTCAGTCTCACTTCTTACCTTCACACATACAGACAGGTAGGGCACACTGGTCTGGGAGTGTGTGCACACGTACATGTCACACACTCAGAAGCATCCACACACAGATACACACTTACCGTGAGTGACCCATTGCCATTGGCCAGGCCCACCAACCCTCTGCCTGTCCGAGCTGAAGAACAGGACCATTTGGGAAAGGAGGAGAAAGAGGTAAGGGTTCTTCTGTATGTTCTTCTAAATGCTGCTGCTGTGCTTTAGAGCAGGGACTGGACCTAAGGGCTTCTTGGGGTCCCTTCTGCTTCTTAGCATCAGTAGTACTTGGCCACAGAGGCTAAGCTAAAAAAGCTAAAATGAAATTCACTGGCTGTACTGAGGCTTTCATTTTTTACAGTTTTGTCTTGTATATGACTGATTGCACACCATGGTCTTTATGAATCTTGTAGTTCATAAAATACACATGACTGACTTTACTGAGGCTGTCTTTTTTCTTCTTCTTCCGTTTTTGTTTGTGGATTTCTGGTTTGATGATATAATACTTCCATTCTCCATCATCTTCATGAATTTTCTTACAATAATGACAGTATTGTTGAAACTCAGGTTATTTACAACAGTTTTAAGTGGGTTAACAGGTGATCAGTGTAGTAATGATGACAATTTATATGTGTTCTTTACTGGCCAGTTTACTATTCCTTGGTTTGTGGGGTTTGTTTTGTGTGACTGATATGTTAAAGCTTTTAAGTTGATTTTTTTAAGCTTTATCAATAAAAAATATGACTATTCACTGAAAATGTGATAGGAGAGCTGTAAGTACTGTTACAGACAAGAGATGGTTGGTCATTGGAAATGTTTTCAGGTCAAGGGCCATATTATAGAAACATCCAAGTTTTCAGATTAGTTATAACGGTAATCGCCAAACAGATGGAATGTAATATATGTCTAATTAAGCTACAGTGCATGTATATATTTATGCATCATTGGAAGTAAATAAGTCATAAATTTGGCAATATTGGCAGAACCACTAGAGAAGAAGAAATTGTAAAATCAATGAGTATGTGGAATGCTGTCGGGTAGAGCCAAAAACAACATTGGGATAGTTAGTTCTCACACACACATACTCACACGGGGTCTATGCACTGCAAACACTGTTGAGAGTGCGTAAAAGCCAAGCTCTGTGAGCAGTATAGTCCCTCTTTCAGCATTTCCCAGCTGAAGCTGTCAGGCACTGGTACACTGAAGCTTTACTGTGAGACAATTTTTCTTTCATAGATACAGACTGAACTAGTTTGCGACTCTAATCAATATGACCACTATATAATCTCTATTCATGATGTGATGTGATGGCATGGCATGTGTTGATTGGCTGTCAGAAACCCACAGGGAACTGCTAAAAACGCAGCAGTTTCTAGAGTGCAGCTGTGCCCCAAAATAGCCTTTCATGGAGAGTTACGTGGATATGTGTGTGTATGAAAGAGAGCGAGATAGAGGGAGATCGTAACTCTTTGCTATGCTGTCCACAAACCTCGGTGGAATTTCGAACTTGAGTGTAGAGTCAGACACTCATAAAGGGGCTCTGTCAGAGTTCTCCCTCTCTTTTTCTCTCCATCTCACCCCGAGGACCATGGTCTGCCCATCAAGTACGCCCTGCTCTTCCTCCACTCCAGCTGGTCATTGCTTTCCTGTGAGCCTCTTATCATTCATATAACTCAAATTAGCTCAAATTCTAATGAAGAATAACTGTTGAAAAAATAAAATAAAAACAACATTATGGGTTTGACAACAAAATATGAGAAAGAAATATGGACATTGTTAGTTATTAAGAACTTGTGATTAGGGCCATGTGGAATCTAATCCCAGACTTTTATCCAGTCAGCAGAATTTCCCACCAAAATCAGCATAGAAAATGGAAAAATATCTGCAGATTTCCTCTGGGTCAGCTAATGACAATGTGAATATGATGTATTACTTTCCTTCAATATGTATGGATTTGTGATAGTTAATTTACCCACTACTCTTAAAAAATAAGGGGGGGGGGGGGGGGAACCTTTTAGAGAAAAGTTTCTTTACAAACCATTTTTTTTCTTATTGTAAAGAATATTTAATGATCTAAATGAACCTTTTGTGCAATGAAAATGTTCCATGGATGTTAAAGGTTCTTCATGGAACCATATAGAACTTTTTTTTTAAATACATAAAGAACATTTCCATAACGTGCTATATTTACACAAAAAACTACTTTATATGTCATCATTATGTTTAAAAGGGGGGGGGGGGGGGGGGGGGGTGGAACCTTTTAGTGAACAGTTTCTATACAAACCATTTTTTTTCTTATTGTAAAGAATATTTAATGATCTAAATGAACCTTTTGTGCAATGAAAATGTTCCATGGATGTTAAAGGTTCTTCATGGAACCATATAGAACTTTTTTTTTAAATACATAAAGAACATTTCCATAACGTGCTATATTTACACAAAAAACTACTTTATATGTCATCATTATGTTTAAAAAGAAACCTTTTATGATGTCCGGCATCTCACATGTGACCTTTCAACTTTAAAGCACAAAGCAGTCATTGAGTGCATTCAAGATGGCTGCTAGGTTAGGTGGTGACTTCTTGGCTCTTGCAAGTGAGTTAAAGACTTTCGAGGTTTATATTTCAGTATCACTGGCTGTCTAAACCCTGGTAATGAACACTGAGTTACCCAACCTTAAAAATTTGTGTCCCGCAAAAACATCTTTATGCTTATGCCCACAGAACCATGCAGACACTGTAAATGCAAGGAAGGTAACAATAGACTATTGATTGGAATTTAGCTTTTTAATTTATCTTTGCTGTGATTTTTATGTACCCCAAAATAAATGTGTATGTATATACTCAAAAAAGATGCAACTTTTTTTAATGGATGTGTATAAATAGTACTTGGTGAGCCAAATCCTTGATTTTTAAGACACATATGCCTCTTGTCACAACATGTAAATTAATCTCCTGAGGGTGTGATATATATTTCTTTAAATTATCACAAATATAATACTTTTTATAAGGTTATGTCATTTGATATATTGTGGTCTGATTATGCTGCTATATCCAACCAGCCATTCATGTCCTCTGTTTACTAACTCTGTTGCAGCTCTTCTACATGAACATTTTAAGATCTCACCAGACATTAATCCATCTGATTCTATGTCTAGCAGGAAGATGGTAACGCTGAGGTTGATGTGGGGACTCCTGGTCCTGTGTGTGGTGGCAGCCTCTCCCCGCAGATACGTCCGACAAGCAGAACTAGATAACTACGACAACAACAATGTGGATTTAGACCTGAATGTGGATAGCGATGATGTCTATGACTATTACGATGGAATTGATGAACCACAGGTGAGAGAGTCATTCAAGAATTTCGGGATGACCCCATTTTTTGCAGCTTTACTTTCCATAAATGAGTATTGCATTAGTACATGAACTCTTTGCTTTCAAACAAGCAAGTAAAAGTACTGTTTTCCAATTTATGTCTCATCTAGGTGTTTCGAATCAAGCCTTATTAATATCTGGACCACGATTGCTGATTCCTCTCTCTGCATATTCATTAGTTTCCTCCAGTCTGTTGAGATGGCTAATGTTCAAGCATTAGACTCAGTTCTAATTGTCATGCAGGAATGTATTTCTGCAGTTTTGCTTCAGGGTGTTTGACAACTTTTCATTTGCTCTGCTGATCCAAATGTTCCTGGGGATAATAGTATCCAGCTATGTCAGTCTTTGGTTTATGATTTCCATTTAAAAACTGGTTTTAACCCAGCTGCTATGCTTCAGGGTCGGTCACTGAGGGAATGTGGGCCTGTATTTACTCATCCTCTTTGATTTCAGATCAGTGTTAGGCTGTGCATACTAATATTCGTCCCTTCTCAGTTAAGTGAAAGAACTGCCATTTTCAGTAAATTGCCTATTTATGATACAAAGCCAAGTTTTTGTTCTTGTACTTTGTTTAAAAAACTGCTTGTGGACAGAAGCATACTGGTGCAGCAAAGATCAGTGTGTCAGACTGATGTATCATACTTTTTTTAATGTAACAAATACTTTTCTTGGACATATCATCTGTATGATGGACAGACCAGATGTTGTTGAATATGAAATGTTCTCAGCTGAATTTTCCACTGGCACAACCCTATGGAATGAGAGGCAGACACTGGCATTTTTTACTGTACTGAAATACACTCATAATCTATAGTTGTTCAACACTAGTCATTCTCGTGCTTGTCAGATTTTTTCACTTAAGTGGCATTTTTTGCCTGGATGCACAATAACATCATTGGTGGTAGCTCAAAGCATCTAATTTTGCCAAAGTTTTCAGTCTAGTTGGTTGTCATTTCCTAAATTACATTTGTAGCAGCATCCACATTTAAAATATTTTCATTTTAAAGGAGTGTTTTAGTTAAGAGCATTAATTTGGGAATGTCTGGTATTATTATACTTAATGTTGCACATCTTTACACACTTTATTGTATTAAATTTTGTTGTAAACTGAGTTATGCACTGAGGTTTTATAGCCAGAAGTTAAGCTGCGGGTATGAAGAAATGTATTCAGTAAAACGATGAGACAACAACAACCAGTTCATCATCTTCAGCATGGAAAAAAGTTGGGCCAAAACTATGTTTGACTGGCAAGAGGCTAATTTCTTTCTTGCCACCCCACCTTGTCTCTCACAAGAGGAGGAGCTCCACTTGACACTTGAAACCATTCCACACGAGGCCTCTGGGGATTTTGGGGAGTCTGGAATCTCTTGGGTGTCTGGAGCTTCTGGGTTACCTGAGGTGTCAGGAGAGCCTGTGGCTTCTGGGGTACTTGAGGTATCAGGAGAGCCTGGGGTCTCTGGAGTACCTGAGCTGTCAGGAGAGTCTGGGGCCTCTGGGGTACCTGAGGCATCAGAAGAACCTGGGGTCTCTGGAGTACCTGAGGTGTCAGGAGTATCTGAGGTTCCAGAGCTTTCAGGAGAGTCTGGGCTCTCTGAGGTGCCAGAGTATTTCAGAGAGTCCGGGACCTCTGGGGTGCCTGAGACGTCTGGAGAGCCTGTGATCTCTGGGCTGCCTGAGGCGTCTGGAGAGCCTGTGATCTCTGGGCTACCTGAGGTGTCTGGAGAGCCTGAGATCTCTGTGCTGCCTGAGGTCCCTGAAAAGCCTGGACCCTTTGATGTGTTTGGAGGGTCTGGGGTCCCCGAAGAGTCTAAACAGCCTGAGGTCACTTTGGAGTCAGGAGAGTCTGGGATCCCAGAGGAGTCTGGGGTGACTGAGGCCCCAGTCGTCACCACTGAAATATTAACTCCTGATTTAGATGAAGGTCAGTAACATGATATCAATACTATGCACTTCTATGAAATCTTGTAGTGTTGGTTATAACTTACTAGAATCATTTTTAGAAGAATAGTTTAGACAAGCTTAGCAAGAGTTAGGGTTAGGGTTAGTTCACTATTGAACTTATTGTTGCACCCATCAATTCTAGGCTCTAAGCATTTTCTACCAATCCCCTGATATTATTCCCTCTGTGACACCCATATACTTCATTTAACTGTCTAACCTTGGTTAAATGTGTGTTCATTTGCTTTGGTGTGCATTATAACAATAATAATCATTATAACTTCTCAGTGTCAGTATTACTCACTGTCTGTCCTGTTCCATTGTCCATGTGCTAATCTGTCTCCTAACACCTTCATGTTGTTGTGTTTAACAAGAGGAGGAGATACTCCTAACTACCCCGACCACTCCCTTGGAGGGGACTGGGGGTGATATAGGGTCAGGGGTACCTGATATTGACAAAGATATTGACACAGATACAACAGGTCAGTATTTCACTTGTATTTAATCATTCTGAAGGCAATTTAAATTATTTCATAATATGTATCCTCAGTAGTTCTAAGACCTGTTCAGTTTATCTAAGTAAGTTCTGTTGCTACCAGAGATACCTACATATCACTATGAAGTTCTGTTCTGCAATATTGTGCAGAGGTGTCCAATCCTGCTCCTGGAAGGCCACTATCCTGAAAAGCTCCAACACACCTGCCTGAAGTTTTTTAGTCCTCTTGAGGACCTTGATTAGTTCAGGTGTGTTTATTTGGGTAATGGCGCTAAAAGGGGCTTTCACACCAGAGGAACTTTTTCATAGTTCTACCAATAGGAACGTATTTAGTTGTAAGAACTCCGTTTGGGGGAACTAAATTAGCTGCTACTTTAGAGTAGGGTCTAAAACAGTTCTATAGGAACTACGGGTGACATACATGTACGATGATTGGCCAAATGCACACGAAACACCAGCTACCCAGCATTTTTAAAAAGCAGTGTAAAAATATTTACTCCATGAACAAGGAAAACAGCAATAACAGCATTTACCTGTTGTCTGCAGCATTGTGTTCTTTTCTCAGCCTCGATGATATGTAACTCTGCAAGTTGTCATAGGAGATGTAGGGTGTATTCACACCAGGAAAGTCCGCTAGTTCACTTGCTTTGGTCTGGACCAAATGCAATGTTGATTTTTTTTTTGGTGCGGTTTCGCTTTCACACTGCCCTTTTTGCAAGTTAGCCAGAAACTGTAAACAAAACCACACGTGTCCTTAAGGTCATCCATTCATTGGTTCATCCATTCAACCATACCAGAATTTGTTTGGAACCTCTTTAGCTGGGTCACGGTATGGTTGTTTGGTGCACACCTGAGTGTAATTGTTGTATTCACACCTGCCCAAAACATTTGCACCAAAGGGGGAAATGAACTTGATTAAATCGAACCAAACAGTCAGATTTTCATGCTCTTTCAATCGCGTAAATTCTGCGTTTACATTTTATTTCTGTAATCACGAAACCCACGACACACAACAAAAACAACTCTGATCACGACATTGTCCATTCTCCGGTTGTTGACATTTGTAAATGCCATGAATAAAGACGTCGCTGTCGGCCGCTTCAGAGTTCCCGGTGCCGGTGCAAATGCAACCAGGAAAACGGCCCGAGGGAGAAATTGATTCTCTAGGAAACACCCTGCTAGCTAGTTCCTAGAACTACGAGGTGCGAAAGCGCCTATTGTCTGCACTAAAGTGGCCCTCCAGGAGCAGGATTGGATACAGCACATGTTCGTGTGACTTTTTTAGTCTCTTAACGATATGATACAAAAGTGCAAAAACTATTTGCCTCATGTCTCCAAACAGGTGGCCCCTGGCATATGCATCAGTACAGTTTCTGTGTTTTAATATGTATTTGTGTTTGTCTTCTGAATGCCACCTGTTAATTTGGTGGTAAGGTATGGGTACCTGTATGCTCTGCACCTGCCTGGTCGGATCTGTGTACTGTGATGACCTGAAGCTGGACCATGTTCCTCCCCTCTCCAAAGAAACCACTCATTTCTATGCCCGCTACAACAAAATTGCTAGGATCGGCAAGTCTGACTTCGCCAACCTGAGTATGTGTTTCATCAAAGGGACAGTCAATGTTTTAATCATGTCACATGTCAATACGAAATTGACAAAAATGTATCAGATCAAGCTCTGCCCTACATTTTTTCTAGCTGAATATCTGGTTTCATAAAAATACATCAGATTACAGAAGTAAAATGGGTTGCAAATGGCAATTACTGTTTACTTGAAGCCAAGAGTTCAGCAGTTTGTCTAATAACATTTCATAACCAGATCTGTTAGCTTAAGCAACATTTGATAGCATTAGCTCGATGGTAAAATATGAATTTGATGTTTTCATGAACTTTACTGAATGGTCTTTTTTGTCTTCTTTGTCATAAAGATAAATTAAAGAGGATCGATCTGACTAGCAATGGCATATCCAGGATTGATGATGATGCTTTCTTTGGCCTTCCTGCTCTGGAGGAGTTGGTATTACGAGAGAATGGTATTAGACAACTTCCTGCTCTGCCACCCTTTATGACCCTTATTGATGCCTCTCTCAACCAGCTGGGCAGCACTGGCATTCAGAGAGAAGCTTTCAAGGTAAAAAAAATAAATGTAATAAATAATAACGTGGAGTTTAATGACAAAGCATTATCCCACTTTTAGCCCATTCTTTTCTAAGCTTTCCTTGCATAGTGTTCCTTGATCCTGTGATAGCCTACTGTTGTGCAAACAGACCTGAGGGAACAACTTACAGTTCATTTAAGTTAGAGAAAAACCAGACAGCAGAAAAACGTCCACTTTCTATGGGAATTGCTGCTATTACTAGATGTGTTGAATGTACCTTAGACAATTTTGTTTGACGGGATTGTCATCAGCTCATGTTTTCTGTTTCCAGGACATGCCAAGGCTACTTTACCTTTACTTGACAGACAACAACATAGACCACATCCCGGTTCCTTTGCCTGACAGTCTGCGCTCTCTGCACCTACAGGTACCTGTACTCCCACCTCACTAGTGCCACCTTGTGGACATGTATGGCACTTGCCAACTAACTGAAACTGACATTTGTTTAGATTTTAATTTAAAGAGCTAGTTTACTTTTAAGAAGTCTTCCTGGTGATCTGCAGAGTGCTCTTTAATGAACATTGACATCTTTGCTGGATGCTACATTGAAAACATTCTCCGTTTTATCATTCAGAATAACAATATCCAAATGATGCATGAGGACACCTTCTGCAATCCACATGACTTGAATTACATCCGCAATGCTCTTGAGGACATTCGCCTGGACGGTAATCCCATCAACCTCAGCAGAACCCCACAGGCCTACATATGTTTGCCACGTATCCCCGTTGGTGCCCTTATTTAAGCTGAGAAAACGCACACTCAAATGCACGCGTACAAAACTCACACGTATGCACAAACTCCTCTGTGAGTACCTCTCTCTCTCTTTTTTTTTTTAAACTTTGGGCTCAAGCAAACACTTGGATATGAATGGCTGTCTTTAAAGGAGCTTGGCATAAATACATAAACTCACACTCTCACAGGAGTTCTGGTGGACACTTCCAACTCTACGCTGCTTGTGTTTCTACCTTTTTACACAGTGCATACTTTTCATAATGTAGGTGGTTTGTAATCATATCTGGATTTATGACGTCTCAAAAACACATGTGTCTAGCCTCATAAACAATCTCTTTTAGAGAAGCATAGAGAACCATGCATAACTCCGAAAAGTTTTTTTATTTATCAAATACTAATGAATCTTTGAGGAAAACAAGATGTCATTAATTTACAAGTGCAAATATGAACAAAAACGCACAAAAACACTCTTTTGTGTGCTGTACTGGTTGCCTGTCTGGGGTTAGCTGCAATTGCCAGTCCAAATTGTTTAAATAGGTTTGTTTTGTAAATGAAATATTGTTAATATTCATATAGAATTTAACAAATGTTTATCATAATTAGCATAAACTAATTGAAGCTGGCGCTCAATGAATTTTTTGAAAGGTAAATTTGACTAATGCAATAAAAGAAGCATTCTAACAATGAATTTGTTGTAAAGTCTGTACTGTAATATAAATATATATAAGCTGTTTTTTTTTTTTTTTTTAACAAGAACTGCAATATTTTGGTATATCACAATTCAAGCTGTTGTTATGACCAATGGCCTTCCAAATGAACATTTCAGAACTGTTGTATTGGCTGAGGGGTTTGAGAATGACTAGGGGGAATGGGGGGTAAATATTAGCTCAGCATTGTGTGTTTTGTATGGAAATAATCACACCTGAATAAAGTTTTCTGATGACCTCTCCAAAACAGAGGTGGCTTAACGTTTTCATTGTTAGCTTCAAAGGCATGAAAGCAACACTTATCGCTCTCTTAAACAAGCATAGCTATTAACTTTACAAAACCAATCACTGTAACACAGCACAATCCACTTCTGGCAACAGAAAACAGTTTTACTTCAAACAGAAGGTGTACAAAAATAATGACATATACATAATGGGTCCCATTCAGAACATTTAGTTCCATTTTAGAAGTTCTCAATGAGCTTTTCAAACAGGTTGAGGAATTTCTGCCTCCTCTCTAAGGAAGCCGGTTCCATCACTAAGGGAATTGAGGTATTAGTTCCTTCTGTATTATCGTTCAGATTAGCCGTCTGCTCCCCTTTTTCCGTCCCATGCTGCTGCTCTAGAATGGCGTGCTCTCGTTCAAGCTTTGCCCTTTCTCTGTCGAGAATCGCTCTTTCCTTTTCCAGCTGAGCTCGGATATACTCCACAGAGGCCCTGTCTCTCTCCACAGCGGCCTTTTCTCTCTCCAGAGAGGCCCTGTCTCGGTCCAATGCTGCGAGTTCTCGTTCCACTCCCGCTCTTTCTCGATCTAAAACCATCTTTTCCCGCTCCAGGACCATCCTCTCGTATTCAATAGCGGCTTTGTCACTCTCTAGGATGGCCCTCTCGTGCTCCATCTCGTCCCTGTCTCTGTCCAGCTCTACCCTGTCTCGCCCCATCTCTTCAGACATCATATCATCCTCTTCGACGAACAGCTCGAGCTCGCTTCTGTCCGGCTCGCGCGATCTCTTGCTCCTCCTGCGCGTGGTGTTGTTCGGGCGATACTCGCTGTCGTCGCCCACAGTAGAAGTGTCTAGAGTGACTTCACTTCCCGCGAGTCTACCCTCCATGGCGTCGTCCATGAGGGAGAACCACGGCCAGTTAGTGGGGTTCACCGAGACGCCAGGTGGGGGATTCTTCATTTCCTGATACACACAAGGTACACAGATACAAACAGTTTAAGTAGTGAGCAAGCAGAGTGCACAATCATGCAGATTAGGGTTGTAGAGTGTAATAACACAGTATGATGTTCATAATTATGTGTAAATAATTATAATATCGATATGTAATGGCATTTAATGAAGTTCAGATGTTTATGTTTATTAAAATAAATGACATTTGTGACCCTGGACTACAAAACCTGTCATAAGTAGCACGGGTATATTTGTAGCCATAGCCAACAATGCATTGTATGGGTCAAAATGATTGATTTTTCTTTATGCCAAAAATCATTAGGAAGCTATTTTGTAAATTTCCTACCGTAAATATATCAAAAGTTATTTTTTTATTAGTAATATGCATTGCTAAGGACTTCCTTTGGACAACTTTAAAGGCAATTTTCTCGATATTTAGATTTTTTTGCACCCTCAGATTCCAGATTTTCGAATAGTATCTCGGCCAAATATTGTCCTGTCCTAACAAACCATACATCAATGGAAAGCTTATTTATTCAGTTTTCAAGTGATGTATAAACCATCATATGACCCTTATGACTGGTTTTGTGGTCCAATCTCACACTTAGTTAATTTGTGTAACTTTAATTAATGTAATGTGTAATTATATAATACATTCATGCACCATACTTTTTAAATAAGTTATATACATTTTACTATATATTTTTATTAATTATATATAAAGTTTATTACTTTCTGATGTACAATATAAAAATGCCATTTAGTTAATTTTGTTTAATTTAAAAAATGTTATGCATATAATACATTCATGAAAATATGAAATGCATTTTAATGCTAAAATTATATATATATTTTCACAGAAACATTACATACATATTTAATGACATTCTGGTGTTTAATATTCAAATTTTAATTACTGTTATTTGTAAGTATATAACACACATTACATGGAATTATACTTATAAAATAATTATTTATATATTTACTATACTGTATGTGTGTGCTATTGTTTATGTATATAATGAAATCATTCAAATGCATAAATGTATCTGTAATATACTATGAAATATATTAAAATATGTAATATCTAATAATTAATCAAATTTAATTATTTATATATTAAAACCTTTACAGGACACTATCGGAAGACTGAAAGGTTCATGGAGTCCTGAACTTATGAGTTGAATGAGGTGTGCTAAATATGGGCAATATCCAAAATGTGCAGTGCTCGAGGACACTTCCAACTCTACGCTGCTTGTGTTTCTACCTTTTTACACAGTGCATACTTTTCATAATGTAGGTGGTTTGTAATCATATCTGGATTTTTGACGTCAGAAACAGAGAACCATGCATAACTCCAAAAAGTTTTTTTTATTTATCAAATACCTTATACTTCATCTTAAGGTTTTCCCATTTCCTCCTGGCCTGGCTGGCAGAAATTTCCCTTTGCAGACCCAGCTCTTTCAAGATGGCCCTATGGCACAAAGATATGCAGACTTTACACACTAACTGCTGCAGCTTGATGGCATAAACATCTAATGTATGCTTCTTTATAGGTGCAAAGACTTGAATGTTTGTGTATGCATGTGTAATTGTCTGCTGGTGGTGACTGGTTTACCTATAAGCCAGAGTTGAAGAATTTCTCTTTCCAGTGAAAAGTGAGTCGTTGGTCACGCGCAACTTCACGAATCTAACGAATTCTTCATTTGACACTTGAGGCGCGCACACACACACACACACACACACACACACACACACACACAAATAAACACAAATGCAGATATTAATAACGGTAGGACACGTGATTTGTATAATGCATGCATCCAATTTACGTGGCCAGCTCAATGCTGAACTGCTATAATAAGACAGTTAATTAAATACACTGGTACTTTAAATGCATAAAATGAATTGCTACTCACTTTTATAAATGAATTCTGCATGATCTGGGCCATCCTTGATGTCCTCAGAGGGACTCTGTACAGTGTAAAGCTCGTGGTCCATACTTGCGTCTGTTGTCTTTGAGTCATCAAGTGCGCTACTCATGGCGCTAGTGCACAAGCGAAGGGCACTAGAAGAGAAAATGGAGGGTTTGCTTTCATTTCTTCTGCTGTTGATTCACGGCGGTCCGAGTGAGCAGGCCGCCACCTACTGGACTGCTGTGAAATCACAATGTAAAAAGTCCGGGATTAAACATGAATTTGTTATTAGAAGTGTATATAATAACGTAAACCTTAAAAAATGTGGAATTGATATAGAAACCTGCACATTTTTGCAGATATACACAACACGTTGTTGGTTTGTTCACATCGTATGGCAGTAGTATGAAGTATTTGAAACAAATATGCTTTATTATTACAGCCTTAAATCTTAACGAAAGCATTCGTTTTCTACCTTTCAGGATGTGCTTGTTTGCAAACAATTAAATGACTTTCAAAATCGTTTCTTCGTAAAACTGTAGTTTCGCAGTAGTGATGGTCGACAGTCAAATCCACATCTGTGAATGGAGAAACCTACAGCATGAAAAATTGTATAATATGAAATTAATGCTGTATATATATTCAAGAAAAACACACTGTAGATGTACGCACCCTCGTGGAAAACTGCCCTGTTAAAACGTCGTGTCATATGCAGCTTTAATTAGTCATTTCTGGTAGATTTAAATACAGTCTCAGAGCAAATAAAGGGGCTCTTCAGTGTGCAAATAATAAACGACTGCAGCACGTCGTGCATTGATGTAAGGGGGCAGTGAGTGGCCTTTCTGAATCGTTATATGTGTCTGAAAGAAAAACATGACTACAAATTAATCCGCCAGGAACTTTCTAGTCGATATTTTACTTTATAACAGTACAGTAATAGAGGAAAACTGGGTACGTTATTATAATAATGCCCCGTGTTAACTAAAGCACCACAAATGTGTTTATCTATAAATTCAGCCATAAGCATATTTCCATCACTAGGAACGCGAAAAGCATCCCGCTTTGTGTCAGCTGTCGTTGTCTCAAACCCGTCAGTGTCTACTCAATGAGCAGCTTGTGTCGAGATCATGTTGCACGTCTGTCTCGTAACGTAAAATTAGAATCGACAAAAAAGCACAATATACTCACTAAGATAGGACCAGATGTGCTCTCTTTCATTTTTACATTGTCACTTGTCATGTTTACTAACTCGAGTCCCGAAACTGTTGGCCTACATCGGTTGGACTAAAACTGCTGTAGTGTAAATGGCGGTGCAGTAATGCAAATACGCCCTTCGATACAGACAAGTCACTTTGCTTAATGAGCGAGTTTTGTATGTAGGGTCAAAAGAACAAACATCTCACACATTTGGGTGGTTTTCAGGAGAAAAGGCTGACGCAAGTAAAGTTTTGTTTCGCAAATAAATGTATTTTATTTTTCGTAAGTCTCTCATCCGATACAAAGATGGCAGCAGAGAGCTTCAAGAGACAGGTTCAAGCAGATGTTTAAACTGTAAACATGGCCTGGGAGCGCCGGCATTTTGGAGCCGTCAACGTGGAGCTTCAGTGTGCAATATACACCGCTTTTGTTTGGGAAATAGCACAAATCGAAGGATAAAGACATATTTGGGTTGATATTGCTCGAGATGTTGGAGTTCGATCACTACAAAAAGTGGATTTTTTAATCCCCCCAAACAGTGACTGTCGCCGAACTAATCAGACCTAATCAGACTAACCTAATGTAAATGAACACAGAACAAATGATCTCAGTGCAAGGATGTCTCACGCGTTTAAATTAAATGGGCGTTTTCACAGAGAATACGAAAAAAAATATCTAGAGACACTTTTCTTTAAGTGGAACAACTTTTAATTTCAGAACTTAATAATAATTATAATATATTTAATTTATATTGTGACATTTCTTTAGAATGCTAGCCTACTTTATGAGATATCGGTCAACCATCTCAGACTGAAAAACGAAGAAAAAGCAGTGCTGTGAAATACAAAACCGTGTTCTGTGTGAACGGCCCTTAGTCTATCAGGCTGTGACCATCAGTGTCATTTCATGCTCTTTTGGAGTTTTATATCATCTGAAATATGCAAAATTGTTTGATGTTTATGTCAAACCAAGCATTTTGATCTGTAAATAAACTATTCGTGATTGACTAACAGATATTGTCCTTTTCAGTGTGGCGACTCACAAAATATTCAGTAGTCTAGGCCTATTAACATGTGAAAAGGCTTGCTTGTATACCTTTTTTATTTTTTATAAAGTTCCCGATTGTTTTTCTTTATACTTGAATATGGTTTGCTGAAAAGGACCAACAGGTGCTAACGGGGCACTAAGTGTTCAGATCAGAGCGCCACTCAACACCGCCGAATAAGACGAGATGAACGCTGATTCGCTGGAAGCGAAAAACGTCACTTCCGCAAGCTCCTTAAGTACGTGAGACATACGTTCCTTAGCCACGCTTCTGTTTCCACCGTTGGGGAGTAAGTAGCTGGAGCTGGCCTCTGTTGTGGGAGCTCAAAAGCTTGTTTTGTTGTTCTGGTTTAACCACTGATTGATTGTTTTTTAATCATTTACTTTTGGGCAACCAAAGACTGCTTTTTTTTGGTAATGTGTCTTGAATTGAAGACAATGAAAGGAAACTACCAGAAGGACAACAAGGCCGCGCCTGATCACAAGAAAAAGTGGTCAAAATCAAAGAGGAGGACTTTTCTGCGCGCAAATATGGGAGAAGGGAGGCGAAAGGTCCGCGTTTGGTCGGCCAAGAGACCACAGCTGAGTCCGGACCGTGTCGACGGTGCAGCTAACGTTACGGGGAATCAAAGTTCCGTGCCATCTGCAGCCATGGCACCAAGAAACACAACGCAATATTTAATGGACCTGGTGTACGCTGACCGATTAGATGTTTGTGATGTAAGCCATGATTTCTCAACGCAGAGTAATGTCCCATCTGATGAGAGCGTTTTCTCAATGTCGGACTCTGATTACGACAGATCTTTGGACTTCCAACAGAGAGACTTCGAGAACGTGTTCTTCGGGAATGAAATCTGACGCGTTTCCGAAACCGAACTTGCTTTCGTCGGAACGAGACGACTGGGCAGCTGTGGACCCATAGACAGTAATATGTGCGTGAAAATGTCAGTGCTTTCATTGTTAGCCCTGTAAAAATATGAAATGGTATCAGACAATGTTTATTGAAGCCAAGGCGTTCAACACAATGCCTTTGAGTTGCATGTTACGAGTTGAATATGGTTTCATTTGTCGGCTCTCCTTGTTCTCACAGCATTGCGCAGACTCCAACTCAGGGAGGCGGAACGCCCTGCGTCACGGCTGCGTGATGACGTGTACACCACGCACCGCTCCCAGTACGACCACATCACGTGGCCAGCAGGTAAACTCGCTCCACCCTTTGTGTACGCGGTGTAAGAGCGCTGCAGTAGCGTGCTGTCGCAGTGTAATTACTGAGAAATGTGCATGCATTGTTCTGCCAACGGGTGCATGTGTTTTGGGAGACTTTTACAGGTTGCTGATCCTCCTCGGTGGATCTCAGCTGTCTGTGCAACCCACCCAGAGCCTTGGGAAAGCCTGCTCATCGCTGCTGGGTAAATGTTTGAATGTAAATCTACACAAGTGCACTCAGAGCTACAACTCATGTGATATGATCTACTTTTGTAAATATTGATTGCATTAACTATTCAAATTTAAGTTACATCTGACTTTCATGTTCTTTTGTTTTGTGTTTATTAAACATTTTTATTATATACACCATGCTTTCCGATATGATTATTTACCATTATCAATAAAATCTTTGCAAATACACTACATAAGCTGATATTTTCAAGGAAGCTTAAGTTTTATAAGGTTGGCACAAGAAGGCCTCACACCATATGTACTCCTTCTGGTTTTCATAGACCAAGAATGCATAGATCAGTGATTTTCAGCTGGGTGTTGCAAGATTACCTTAATATTAAAATGAAAGATATAGAATGTGCTAGCCGATATTTCTTGTTTATCGTCTACAGTTTTTATACATGCTGTACTTTTGAAGTCACAATTAGTTTAAGTTTTAAAATGAGATGTTTCTTTAGAAGTATTGTTTGAGTTGTTGTCTTGCACAATTGGGGCCCATGGAGCTTGAGGGCTGCTGCTGAAAAACAATGGAGAAGAAAATGGGTAACTTGTTCAGGTGAGAACAGGTAATGCATAATCGTTAAGTAGGAGTGTTTGTTTTTCTTTTTAGGGTCAGAATTGAGCATAAATTAGACTTTGTTCCTTGAATTTACACACAGGGAATGGGGCTGATCGGGTAATGATGAAATGCTACATGTTGTATTTAACAAGTATTGTTGTGATATTTTTGGAATAAAATTTTACTACTTGGTTAGCATAACATCCTTGCTTGGAGTAAAAAAAAAAAAAAAAAAAAACGGCCTACGCTGGTTGGTTGACTTAAACTGAATGTAGCTTGTCAAGTTAGTTATAGCTTTAACCAGCTACAGAAGAGGTCAAAACTCCCCAATAACCAGCTAGTTTTAGCAGGGAGCGCACTCTCAACCCTAAAACAACTGAAAATTACTTCCAACAGCTTTACAAATCATATTTATTTTTTTAGTTTATTTCTTGCACAAGAATAAAATTAATACAGTAAAACAAAAACTACAATCCATATACTGTGCAGGGAGAGGCAGAAAACCCAGAGCTTATTTAGAGCCTCCACCTAAACAATAACGAAAACAACTAATGAAAGCGCTAAATAACAACAGATATAAATGTAAACGATTACAACAAATAATATACTCCAAAAACAAACCTTATATGGTACATAAAATGCATTAAAAACCATTACAAAGCACTAAAATGATCCTTTATACATTTTTATAACAAAGAGGATATATTAAAGACCTCTACAAGTGAGAACTTTAGGAAGATGACAATGTGAAAAATGACAAGTTAAGTGACACCTGTGAATGTTCTTTAAAATACACTTCTAAATTGTTCTGGAATGTTACCCTCACTTGAATATATTTTATACATAAACACATATTTTAAAAATATTAATATCATAAATTGTAAGAACCTGAGATGAAGTTCAATGAAGAAGCAGACGAAGTATATGCATTTTATCGGGTTGCAATCCTAATAAAACGCTTCTGAAGGAATTTTATTTTTTTTAAGTAGTAGGCAAAGTACTTGCCCAAACTATATTACAATATGGAACGTGTATAAATTAAACTAGCAAAGCGTAAGAAGACACTCTGTAGTAACAAGATGCCTAACCCTCCTACCAGTATAGGCCTATGATTTATTTTGTTTTGTTTTTCTCACGTAATCAGCTTGTCCAATTCAAAGTCTCATCAACAAAAACTCAAGAATTTAGTATTTGACACTTGAGGCACTTCAATAGACTCTTAGTCATTTTTGATAAATCCTTAGGGTAGCCTTTATGCGAAGTTTAACATAAGAATTAATGTATTTGTTTGAAATTATGACATCGATTTTAGTTTTAATTTTTGCTTTTTTTAAAAAGGGTTTATGTTGATGATCAACTCTATGCTGCCAGCTGAGTTAAACTTCTATTGAGCCCAGAATATTCATCTGACCATAATCATGACCGCAGTTTCAGTTTAGACAAATGACTGCCAAAAATAAATACAAATTCCAAAAGCACTTTTGGGATAGAGTGAAACATGGTTTGAATATGTTTTGGAAAATCAGCAAGAAATGTGTGACGTTGAGTCAGCATAGGTTGAAATCCTGCACTGTTTTAAACGCCTTGTTAGATTCATACAAGCTATTCTAGAATCAAAACATTTGTTTCCTGACAAATATACTATTGGACAGAGCATTATGTAGGTTTTAAATAGGCGCGCAAAGCACTTCATCAAATGAAAAGAAAAAAGCTGCGGATCAGCACTTCTGCAAATTGACTCTCTTGACGTATGATTGTTTTGAGCACAGGAACACCTTGTTCCCTTCTTCACCCCACAGCTCTGTTTTTGGCACAAGGCGGTTTCAAAAAACCCATGTGGCAAACAGGTGCAATTTCCTAACTGGTTTTCAACACCAGGTGGCCCTAAAGTGCCACAGTAAAGTAAGGCCCACCAGGGCAGTCTTTTGTAAGCAGTACTTCAAGGAAGGCTGACAAGAGCAATGTGTTGATAATCCTAGTGCCACATTTAGATTACAGTGCATGGCATCTGTTTGTGAGGGGCATGAAGCAATGGAGGAGACTCAGGCAGGACAAACCTCTCAAATTACATAGACGGTGAGGATTGAGGACACACACCTCTTTGTCAATGGAAGGAATGAAGGAACCCACACAAGACAAGGTCTGTCTCTATTTCTCCATGTTTCTCAACTCACTCTGGACTTTAATAGGCCAAACTTTAAGTTTCAGTCTTTTTTTGCCGTTTTATGGTGAGTGTTTCTCCCACACTGACAGTCCTTAGTGTCAGCTCAGTTGCCCCATGGTCCCCCTGCCAAAAGTAATAGATGAGACAACTCGTCCTTGGCCTGCTGTGTGCTGTCAATGAAATGACGGCAGAATACAAGGCTTGTGCATTATGATTGATATGAAGCCCTCCAGCCAGGCCTCACTGCCAGTCTATTGATTAGTCGCCAGCCTGGTCTCATGGGACGGCCTGTCCCTTTGTCATCCATCATACCGATTTTCTCCCGTTTTAGACAGACAAGAAAAGTTACCAGGATAAGCTCCTATTTGAAAGTGCAGGTGCACCCATTTAGAAAATATATATAATCGTATCTGATTTGAGTGAATGGTACGCTTCATTTAGGTAAGATAAGGTTGTAGGTTGGCTAAGTCATGCTGGCCTGAGCTACTATTTAAACTAAATATGCCGTTATCTTTCTTGAACTTAATGATTCCCGTCCATTTCTTTCGATATATATATATAATTATTTATTTTATTTTTTTCTCGAAATTATGTTATCAAGTACAAAAACACTCTGATTCACTGCCTGTTTCATCAAGGCCAGTTTTTAATGGAAGAGGAGTTTACTTTATTCCATTAATGATACCAAAAGGTTAAAATTAGTCTGAAGATTGACGACTCAATGCAAACCATTTAGCAAATTGATTGTAAATGTCCCTTTTCTTTAAAATAATACATAAATAAATAAAATATATACAGACTGTCAGTCTGTGCATTATGGTGAGAGTTATTTAGTGGTTCTTTCTGCTTACAAGTTAACATACACATTAAGCCATGAGGTGACGCAAGTGAATGAGTCTTTGAATCATTAAACCGATTCGTTAAAATCACTGGTTCATTAATAGGAACGTCACAATTATGTTTTGCTCGGAGACGTTCGGTTCGCTGTGGTTTTGTACAAAAACATTTTCGTTGGCGGAGCCAAAAAGGACGAAGTAAATGTTAATATTGTTAAGCTTACATTTTAGACACAATATTGACAGTTTATTGAACTATTGTATGAAAGATCAAGATGCTGTAACATAATTTTTAATTCAGTTTGGACAGCTGTTTCTTCCAGTGTTAAGTGGGTAAAAATAGTAAATTAATCCCACACGGAAATTGGTTAAATGTATACGTAGGCCAATATGTTTGACGTTCAGTTTACATCAAATCAACGTTTTTGACGTCAGTTTGATTTGTATATTTGTCCTGTATTTTGATGTCAATTTGAAGTCTTTTCAACATCACTTACCCTCTGGGATTTTCTAATCACGCCATTGTATTGTTTGTTTTCCAACTTTGCATTTCTCATCTCAGGTTAGCAATTTGTCCTACTATTTTGGCAAATGTTATGAGAACATGGAAAAGTAGGCTATGTGTGAATCAGCTGTTTGGTGCTGGACGAACTGACCAGCTTTCCGCCCTCAGAAAGCACGAGTTCTGTACAAAAAGATAAAGGTAAGACCCCAGGAAGAAATATGCTTCCCTTTTGCTTTTCTTTCTATTTTGTACACTCAAAACAAAACAACAACAATCACAAAAATTGCTGCTCGCGCATGCTTGTACTTAAAATGCAACGCAATTTTTTAAAGTCAGTTTAATGACATCAGTTTACTTTCTGCAGTTCGTTTAAATGGTAAATTAATTTAATTTGCGAAATTCATGTTGAATTGATAAATACTTGACACTGAGCTGAATTGTCATTGCTGGAACTGGTTGGGGCTGGTTAGGGAAAGTAAATATCAAAATTAATTAGTTTAAATATTGCTTAAATAATGCCCGGTATTCATAAAATATGCATGTCTATAGACAGAGAAAACAGCACTTTGACCTTCACAGAGACGGGTGCCTGTGGCGTTGTGGTTGGACACACTCACGGAGTGGACTCTGTTCGCCGAAAGAAAGGTCACAGAAATGTCATGCAGTCATGTCCTTGTAAGTTTGATCAGACTTGATAAAAGAAAAACCAGCTGCTTGGTTTCTTCCTGATGTTTTCAACATCCATAATAATACCACACTAAGCATTTGATCTACAGGTGCATCTCAATAAATTAGAATGTCGTGGAAAAAATGAACTTTTCCACGACATTCTAATTTATTGAGATGCACCTCTATGTTGCTTTAAATGTTAGCTGTGATGACTCGGCTAACAACCGTTGTGCCAAGTTTGCATTGAAATTGAGCATTTAATTTTTTTTTATGTTCATTCAACATTATTTCATGTGACCGATGCAACTGGAAAAAAGGGAGCTCTGTTCCTTATGTTAGTTTACAGAAGGAAAGAAATGCAAGGGTAAACGT